CGCCCCAAGAGTGCCCCCGTCTGGGAGAGCCCAGGACTGGAGGAGCGAGGGCCCCCCCCCGAGAGTGCCCCCTGGTGGGAAAGGCCAGGACTGGAGGAGCGAGGGCCCCCCCCAAGAGTGCCCCCTTCTGGGAGAGGCCAGGACTGGAGGAGCGAGGGCCCCCCCCAAGAGTGCCCCCTTCTGGGAGAGGCCAGGACTGGAGGAGCGAGGGCCCCCCCCAAGAGTGCCCCCTTCTGGGAGAGGCCAGGACTGGAGGAGCGAGGGCCCCCCCCAAGAGTGCCCCCTTCTGGGAGAGGCCAGGACTGGAGGAGCGAGGGCCCCCCCCAAGAGTGCCCCCTTCTGGGAGAGGCCAGGACTGGAGGAGCGAGGGCCCCCCCCAAGAGTGCCCCCTTCTGGGAGAGGCCAGGACTGGAGGAGCGAGGGCCCCCCCCAAGAGTGCCCCCTTCTGGGAGAGGCCAGGACTGGAGGAGCGAGGGCCCCCCCCAAGAGTGCCCCCTTCTGGGAGAGGCCAGGACTGGAGGAGCGAGGGCCCCCCCCAAGAGTGCCCCCTTCTGGGAGAGGCCAGGACTGGAGGAGCGAGGGCCCCCCCCAAGAGTGCCCCCTTCTGGGAGAGGCCAGGACTGGAGGAGCGAGGGCCCCCCCCAAGAGTGCCCCCTTCTGGGAGAGGCCAGGACTGGAGGAGCGAGGGCCCCCCCCAACTGAGGGGGGAGGGTGAGTCACAGCCAGTGCCCTGCCCCCTCCCACAGCGCCCCTTGCTGCAGGCTCCTGGCGCAAGTGTAGCTGAAAGCAGACGTGTCCGAGCACGCTGCCTGGTACTTACACGACGGCGTCCGTGTCCGGGGCCAGCCGGGGGGACGTGCAGCCCAGGAGCGGGATGCTGACCTTGTACTCGGAGCGCAGCTCCTGGGATGCCGCCTGAGGGGAAGAGCCCAGGGTCAGAGCCCCGCTGCTGGGAACGGGGCCCAGGGTAGGATGAGCTGAGAACAAATGGCCCCGGGGGCTGAAGGAGATGGAGGCATGGAGCGGGGTGTGCTTGGAACAGCGCACAGGGCAGCACAGCCAGGGCACTCCCAGCCCAGCTCATCACACCTCCACAAAGCCCCTGGGCTCCAGCAGCGCATGCTGGGAGCACCCGGGGTGCAGGCGGAGGCCGGGGGATCGGCCGGAGCAGTGAGAACTGGCCCCACCTTGGGAGGGACGTGAGCCAGGCGCTGGGGGCCGCTCACAGACGCATCAATTAAAAGACAAGAGAAAACGTTTAACGCTTCAGTGGCCCCGTGTTTGGACAGACGCGGCTCAAGAGGCTCATTCATCTCTCGGGTCCTGCTGAGCCGGCCACTCCCGAGGAGCAGCTAATCCGCAGCCAGCGCCTCCCCTGCCACTGCCAGCCACGCAGCAAAATGCCAAGCCCTCGGCTGCCTGCCCTGACATTTACCGGGCCGGCTCCCCGTGCGGGGGGGCACGGCCAGGAACCATTGATCAGAATTAGTGCAAAGCACTTGGCAGGAGGGGCTACTGCAGCTCCTCCAAGAAAGAAAGAAAGAAAGAAAGAAAGAAAGAAAGAAAGAAAGAAAGAAAGAAAGAAAGAAAGAAAGAAAGAAAGAAAGAAAGAAAGAAAGAAAGAAAGAAAGAAAGAAAGAAAGAAAGAAAGAAAGAAAGAAAGAAAGAAAGAAAGAAAGAAAGAAAGAAAGAAAGAAAGAAAGAAAGAAAGAAAGAAAGAAAGAAAGAAAGAAAGAAAGAAAGAAAGAAAGAAAGAAAGAAAGAAAGAAAGAAAGAAAGAAAGAAAGAAAGAAAGAAAGAAAGAAAGAAAGAAAGAAAGAAAGAAAGAAAGAAAGAAAGAAAGAAAGAAAGAAAGAAAGAAAGAAAGAAAGAAAGAAAGAAAGAAAGAAAGAAAGAAAGAAAGAAAGAAAGAAAGAAAGAAAGAAAGAAAGAAAGAAAGAAAGAAAGAAAGAAAGAAAGAAAGAAAGAAAGAAAGAAAGAAAGAAAGAAAGAAAGAAAGAAAGAAAGAAAGAAAGAAAGAAAGAAAGAAAGAAAGAAAGAAAGAAAGAAAGAAAGAAAGAAAGAAAGAAAGAAAGAAAGAAAGAAAGAAAGAAAGAAAGAAAGAAAGAAAGAAAGAAAGAAAGAAAGAAAGAAAGAAAGAAAGAAAGAAAGAAAGAAAGAAAGAAAGAAAGAAAGAAAGAAAGAAAGAAAGAAAGAAAGAAAGAAAGAAAGAAAGAAAGAAAGAAAGAAAGAAAGAAAGAAAGAAAGAAAGAAAGAAAGAAAGAAAGAAAGAAAGAAAGAAAGAAAGAAAGAAAGAAAGAAAGAAAGAAAGAAAGAAAGAAAGAAAGAAAGAAAGAAAGAAAGAAAGAAAGAAAGAAAGAAAGAAAGAAAGAAAGAAAGAAAGAAAGAAAGAAAGAAAGAAAGAAAGAAAGAAAGAAAGAAAGAAAGAAAGAAAGAAAGAAAGAAAGAAAGAAAGAAAGAAAGAAAGAAAGAAAGAAAGAAAGAAAGAAAGAAAGAAAGAAAGAAAGAAAGAAAGAAAGAAAGAAAGAAAGAAAGAAAGAAAGAAAGAAAGAAAGAAAGAAAGAAAGAAAGAAAGAAAGAAAGAAAGAAAGAAAGAAAGAAAGAAAGAAAGAAAGAAAGAAAGAAAGAAAGAAAGAAAGACCTCCCAATTGGAGGTTTTACTTCTCAGTACTCTGACTTGTAACTACTTTGTATATCTATTACCAAGCTGTTTGATCTGGGAGGTATCTAAATTTACCAGTGCAGCAAGATGCTCCCATTGGTTGAATGGAGCTATTCATCAGATGCTGGGATGTAGTACCAGGCTATTTTATGATGGAGAAATGTTGTTTCCAGAGCTTCTTCTCTTTATACTCCTGAGGATATTTCATTTGCAAATAAGCCTGAGCTGCAGAGATCAGATCCTAATCTGGATCTGCACTTCCTCAAAGACTTGTTTTGATCTAAAGTTTTGATTCAAATTCAATTCTAGTTTCATTATAATGTGATAATGCAAGCAATGCAAAATCAGGACAGAATGAGCCCTACTTCAGAACAAAAAAGCCCCTAGAAGTAGCAATCCTATCCATGCAATCTTGTGTTCCATTGCGCTTCCATTGTTTAGATAGGGTTACCAGGTGTCCAGTATTAAACTGGACAGCCCGAGATTTGCGCCTTCTGTCCAGTAAAAAAATTCAGAAAATACCAGACATGTAAAATGTGCTGTATTTTCTGTTTTTTCTTGGCTTGGGTGTCTGCCGGAAGGCACAGCTTGGGCTGGCTGGAGCAGGGGGAGGATGGAGTGGATTGGGAATTAAAAGGGCCATGACTGTATTAGCTGTGCACCCTGCCCGGCACCTCCCCTCCAGAGCTGTGCACCCTGCCCGGCACCTCCCCTCCAGAGCTGTGCACCCTGCCCGGCACCTCCCCCCCCAGCAGTCTGCAACCCTGCCCGCCACCTCCCACCCCAGCAGAGCGATCCAG